AATATATGTTGTTATTTTAAAAATATTTGCCATATTTTATACATTTCATTTCAAATAAAATTAGTGCTTTTTTAATATAATTTGTTAAATGAATAACATTAGGTCCTAGAATAAGAGATATTTTCTTTTTTTATTTAGAAAAAGAATACCACTAAATCATACAAAATGTTGATGCTTTATCTTCTGTAAAAACTTCATTATTACCTCTTTAGGTGTTTTGATCAACATATCTCGACCAAGTCAAACTTCATGAAATACTTGGTCAAAGTCACTTTAAGCTTTCCTTTAATTCATGTAAGACTTGGTGCAAACTTCAACCGCATAACCTTAATGTCCTCTCCAAAACTGCATCCAAATAGTCTCTCTAAGATAAGGACACTTTCTCTGTCACCTTCACCCTCCTTTATGTGGCAGGTTGACTGGTGTCAAGCAGTCAATCAGAGCATTTGTGAAAGTGGTCAAGATGGGTCAAGACAAAGCCCTTATGTGAGCTTAGTGGCTGTGCACCTGGCAAGGCCAAAATTTTCATGATAAATATCAAGCCCTCATACATTTGAGCTGGCTATAAGGAGAATCTTGGCGAGCACCGTAAGGTCTTTCTCTCTCCTGTCCGATAGATAGAAATTATTGGGTGTGAATGGGCGTAATATCATGCCTCACTCAAGTTTGGAGATTACCGCATAACATCCAAAATATTAATTCCAAAATATTTGCTTATCGCTCACTCCAGCTCTCCCTCGGCTTCTTCATCATATAAAATAAAGGCCTCCAGCCATTGAAGAAATTTATGATATGTCTTGAAGAGCCCAAATTGAGTAAGAGGAGGAGAGGTAGAGAAGTAGAGAAAGGCTAAGTGCTTATAGCATAAGGTTGATTCTGGCCATCAAAAAGCTGCTTGACCCTTGAAGGAAATGTGCATTAGAGGACTACATCACCTTTTGCCAACGAAGCCTAAGATCATCCATAATCTACCCATATGGAATGTTTTAAGATATGCCTAAACTTTCTTCTCAAACTCAATTTATAATAATCGGTGCAGCAAATCTAAAACACATGAGCATCCATAAACTTCAGATTGTTAAGAAAAGATTATATTGATATAAAGTTTACTGTTCAAATTTTTCAATTTTGGACAGAGTATTTGAAAGATGATGGCCTAATTAAAAGTTTCAATTTAATTTTGAACTGTTGTGAATTTGACCAATCAGAGCCAGATCTGTATCATGCCAATCTACTACGAGGACGCGTTGGGCATGTTGCCGGGACAGCATTGTTCAGGTCTGACAATCCAATACAGCAAGACTAGTCCTGGACCACGGGCCGGCGTATGACGTGGCACCGCTGTGCTTTATGACAGGTGTCTCACTGTTGGGAGATGTTCATTGTAAAATTGAATTAAAAATTGAAATTAGTGATTGCCATTAATTCCAAAATTCATAGAAAATCCATTTCTTCACTAAATCTCTATGTTTCTTGCTCGTTTTGGAAAAGACATATGAGGCCCTGCTTAGTTTATTAAAATAAAATCCAAGTGGCTTTTGAATACTGGATATGAGTTATTGTCGGATTGCTTCGACAAATTCATTTTAGCAATGTTCTCATAATCCTATTATCAATTGAGGCCAGAAATTTTGGTGAGATTTTTTAATCATCGCTAGCATCATCTATGTAAGTTTTTATTGACCAATGTTCAAAGTGATATTATGTGATGTTGAATTGTTCTAAAAGTAATTGGTCCATTGGATCAAAAAAAGTTAAAAATTCCATAACTCTTTACAATTTCTTATGAGAATTAGGTGCGATAATTATTGTGGTAGTTTGCATGATGGTTTTAGGTTAGATGACAAATTATTTCAAACTAATTTGAACACTAGAAGGCATCCTAGAAAATATAATTTAAGGAAAAAGTCTAGACCAACTTTAGAAAAATCTTTAAAAAATTTGTACACACACTCAAATGTGAGTAAAATTCAGAACTATTAAACTTAGTGATGATTATGTATCTTAGGTTCAAATTTCGGTATGGGATTGGAAGTCTTTAGTGTTAGAAAATGAAGACAAATCAATATTTAGCCTTTTAAGACTCTAGAAAATTTCAAAAAATTGTAAAATTTAACTTAATTCTTAAAGAATTACAAAGAACATCTCAAATGACTAGAATTTAATTTTTGCGATCTAATAGAGAAAATAACATCACTTGATCGCAAACTTGTATTGTAACGTTTAATTTGGTTTTTTAGCTGAAAATTAAATATTTGCATTAAATTATATTAATTTAAAATTACTTAAACTCCTGAAAAAAAAAAGTTCTAAACACTTGGAAACATCCCCTTGGGGTCAGTGCATGACCTTGGGTGTGTCCATGCGGAGTTTGGGGTTGATTTGAATCAACATGGGCATAAACTTTCTAATTAAAATAAATGTCAAAATTTCAATTAAATACAAATACTTCCAAAAAAATTCATAAACTATATTAGTAATTGACAGAATAAATGAAATTGAGCAAACTCAAAAGCGCTGTCAACTTCATTATGAAATTCTATATATATCAAATAATATCGAACCTTCAAAATAAATTTTAGTTAAAAAATCAGAAGTTTGACCCTTTGTAATTATGTATTAAATAATTCAAATATTTTTAAAATAATAAATAATTGAATCCTTTTAAAATAATAAATAATGAATTCCAAAAAAACATAATTTAACTTAAATCATAAACCAAGCAATATTAATCAAAATCATTAAATTTTAATCTTAATGCAAATCAAATCACCTTAAATCATAGAGTTATTATCATTAGGTAAACTCAACATTAAATCAGTCCTTCAACCTTTTAACAAACCTAACATTAGACAACTCCAAATCAATTTACCCGATATAGGAAATATTTTCCCAATCATTCAGCTATTAACCACACTTTAGATGGTTTGCTAGGGGCACACTTACTGCTAGTCTAGTGTTCTAGGCCGGTGTTTACTTTTCTATGTTTGCTTGGTTTTCGAGCTTTTTATTACATTTATGGTTGTTAGAATTAGATGATTCTGTGATGTTATTTGTAAATCAGGCACTCTATGATATCGATGTACAAAATGTGGTGATTTGAGTATTTTAAATTCAATATATAACTTGCTTGGAATTGATTCAATATTAACATGTATTTAGGATAAAACCCGGGGCATATGTTGAGGTTCTAGAATTTAATTTTTCATCAAATGTAGCAAAACTTTTATTGAGTTGTAATTCAAGGTGACATTTAGAAAGGATACATAACTATTTAGTTGGGATTCCCAAAAGGAGATAGAACATCTCGTTAAGGGAGAGTTTCTTCGGTCCATTTAGATGGTCTTAAGTTAGTGTATAACTTTTTAATAATATCCAAAGGGAAAAATGATTAACACCCCATTTTGAGGGGGGGAGTTTCTTTTCAGTTGGATATCTAAACCCCGTAATCTATGGAGTCCATAGTGAGATTGAAGAAATGGAGAACGAGCAAGAATCCGCTTTCTCAAAAGTTCACTCATAGTCTTAGGAAGTAGAATATTCAAGCTATTATCAATGGTTACCCTGCCACTTTACATTTCTGCACATCCTTGGTTGTAATATTAAGTGGCATTTGTCTATATAGACTTTTAATTTAAATATTAATATAATTTGATTGATGATGTGACGTCTGATCTTATGATTAGGATTTGCTTCTTTTCTTAGTTTTTTGGCGATCTGTACTATGGTGCCTACTATTAGCGTTGTTCTTAGCTCTGGTGATGAATTGCTTCTCTCGTTT